TCATACCGGGACCGGGCCCGGACGCTACCGACTTGGCCACGACGAAACGATACAGAGCACAACTATCGGCGGCATCCAGATCTAGATCTCAGCTGTGACTGACGCTCGAACACACTTGGCCAGCAGAGCAGGAAAAATGATCGCGGACGCGGGATTCGAACTACCGACCATCCCCACGATCTTCCACCGATCACGCTTCAACACGCTCGGCTACCAGCTTGCTCCTCCGGGGCCAAGGTCTCCGAGCTCGGTCCTGCCTAACGGGAGACAAAAAGCGACAAAGAAAAATTTGCCCCGACCCAGAGTTGATCTTAGGGCCGACAATTTAGGTTCGGATGAAGCTGCATGCGGTCATGTCGACCGTAGCTACAACTGTTTGACTACAAAAGGGGCGTGTGGCTGGTGGCGTCGTACATCGTATGTTGCCCCATTTTTGTGACCACACTTTTGTGTCCATGAACAGGGACGTGTTTACTACCACTTGTCGCCGCGACACGAGTTGTCGTTGTCGCTTGGACGCCTGCGAGGTAGGCCACGGCTTCTCTCTAAGGCGTTTGTCGTGACGGGGACTTTGGGTTTAGGCTCCTCTTGACCCCAGGCTCATAAATCCTTTCTAAAGCTAGGAAGTGACGCCGTGTCAATCTAGGCGCGGGTCGATGATTGTCGCTGAAAACGCCTGGAGGGTAGACAATGCTTTCCTGAATCGGGCCCCCGCGGCCCCCTGTCCCTCCGAGCGCTTGGACAAGGCGAGAGCTTCGGAGACGCAAGGCGAGAGCTTCGGAGAGGCATTGATATCTTTCGCTTTAGTTCTTAGCGCTGTTTACTTCTGGTTGATATTCTAGCATTTGCGGATGTAATGAATTCGTCTATGGACGGTTCAGTTTGAGCTGACTCGGGCACTGTCGGCTGTAGCTACAATCGTGTAGCTACAAACAGGGACGTAGTGAGTTAACGGTGCCAACAACTCGCTGCGTCTCATAGCGCCTAGATGATAGGCAACATCTTGTCTGCAGTGCGTGCGTGTACTGCGGGGTGGCCTACCCCGAGTCTCGCAGGGGCTGAGCGCCCGTTGGTTGTCGAGTGAATTTTTTGACACTATTGAGAGCTTGAGGCGCTATGTACTGCTGTAAAGCAGCATAAATGACGACAAGCAAAATAACATTGTATCCAGTTTATTAAGTTTGAACTTAAACAGCTAAATCGAATCACAGATGAAAATTAAAAAGAAACAAAACATAAATATTGACACACATTATACAGATAGAACTAAGTGGATTCCAAAATTAATTAATTTACAGGTTCAATTGGTTAAAGAATCATTGAGTGAATTGTGAAGGTCAGTTCAATTGAGGCGAAAATGAATGGTTCTAATGTATAAATTGATCAGTAAAAAATAAGCACGAGGATAAATCAAATATTTTGTAGCTGAAACACAGTGTAAGGCATAGTGCAATTGCCTGAACACAATCAAGACAATTTGCTTACAAGATGAATAAATATTAAAAACTAAATCATATTGGAACTTCAGATTTCACTGAAATCTACACAAGTGACTTGCAACAGCTACTCTCACAGACCCACCCCTTCCCCACCTTAGGCTTAGAAGTACCTAATGATAAACTTATGATATACTAAAAACTCATCATAAGAGTTAACTAAAGGTACATTGACTTGCTGCAAAACATCCCAACATCATCAAGTCAGATAATTAATACTATAATATGGCAAAATCAGTTGAATAATGGTCACTAGCTTGTAAATAAATTCATGGCATCCCTGCTCGACTCACATTTATCGATGGAAGTCGTACATACACAAATAGGCGTAATATAAAATTCAAAGCTAATCATTTTATCAACATCTAAGAATTGAGTGACTTTATCTGATAATTGATAAAATTGATTATTGCTCTTAACAAACAAAAAATGTAACAAAATTTAAAAAGAAATCAAATGAAATGATGATTTGCAGTCCAAAAATCTACAATAATATCTTCTAGGGTAGGGTAACAAAATATTAGGACAGTCATAAAAAGGAGCCAGGCAGTGAGGGGACAATGGCATATCTAACAGGCAATCATGGCAGTGATTCGGGTAACGTCTGATGCCGTTAAATGTCTGCATGTCCAATAATCAGTTGGGGTTGGAATATGGGAACAAGATAGGTACCAAAACGCACTCTGGTCATGAAATAGAGGATAGAGATAAAACAACATTTTTAGGAAATGTCAAATCCCATTAAACCATAAACATAAAAAACATTATAAAATTACACATAGGAACATAAAGCAACTGAATGATAAAAAATCCAGTCTCTCAAACAGAGAGCAAAGTTGTGCTATTGTAAAGACAGAAATGGACAAAATCATATTATGAATTTCTTCTGCCGATAAAACAGCCTCGCTTACACGTCAATTTTCATGTAGGATAGGCCGAGAACTCCCAAGACACTTCACATTTCATGATAAGATCCTAGCTAAAGGCAGAGGGGAAGAAATACTTGATAAGTCAAATGAGAACAATTAAGACTTACTTTTTAGGCTTTGAGCTTTGATGGGAGCAATCTCTGATGTCAATCAAGAAGAATGACACCTCAACATTGGAAGATTCAAAAAGATAAAACCAATTTTAAAATTATTTTAAGTTTTTTAAGTTAATGATTTGAAGTGGCCCAATTACTTAATGTTAAATTTTCTAAGAATACAAATAGGAATTTTAATACTGTTCTTCATTCTTTTAACTTTAAAACTGGGGCAGCTGCTAAGTGCAGTGCTGTAAGGATAGTTCTCTTTATTGATAAAAGGTAATGGAAATTATATGAAAAGTTGAAACAATCCAACCAAATTAAAAGAAAAGCTATTTGCTTTTATGTAAACTGGTCAAATGCAAGACTTTGCATAGGAATTTGTGAATGTGACATTAGAGGATACTGATTCAATTGACAATCTACCATCATTCCGGCTTATGTATAAAGTGATCACTGCATAAAATGACTAAAGCCATTGCAAGGTTAAAATGTAATGAATGGTAGCCAAAGTGAAACAGTAACATTCTCATGTAACAAACAAACACAAATTACAAAAATAAAGAATTGACACAATGCTTATTGACTAATAAAAATACTTGAACTTGAAACTAATAGTTTTGGCAAATTATGAGTGTTCAGCTTGGAAACGTTGACCCTTTGCAACAATAGTGGCAAAGTTGTCTAGGGAATGATACAGAGGCCAAGCCGTATGACTTACATTACCATTATGGCATGGTAAGGCTATCAACAAAAGCTATCTTATCCTAGACAATAAATAATAAAACACTGCATATATTAATTTCTTCTTAACACATAAGAATGATTGAAATCATAGTACAAAAGACTTGTGAGTTTATGAGACTTTGGTATAGTTTGAACTTAAACTATGATGAAAACAAGCACTAATATGCCTGGCCTCAGACACTTCCACACATAAATTCACATTTCATTTTTAAATGGATTTTTCCACTAGCATATTATCAATTGGCACTTCTCCAATGAGACTGAAGTCTAGATAAATAAAAAGAAAAACCTATTATAACACTTAATATTTGATTTTACTTCACTAGAACATAATATTTCAAAAATCTTTGGAACAACATACATATTTCAAATCTAATGGAGAAGTGCAGAAGGAAAAATTTCTTCCAGATTCGCGTTTGAACTCCAAGGAACTAATTCTCAAATAAAGTGCAATGGAAATGGAATCCTTCATTACAGATTCCCACATAATACCTTGCATATTAGCTCAGGATAGAAAATTTACTACAGAAATCTCTTCAAGACATCATTCAGTCAGTGCTATTTTCAACTTCTTAAATCTATGTGCAAAACATTTCTTAAATACTCCACTCCAACATGGCATTCTATTTACATAACAAAACTACATCATACTGATTCAGTTGAGTATCTCAAGACAGCTCACTACACCTAATATGTACATTAGACAAACATACAGCACATATCCATTTATAAATGATCTAGAGATACTTTGCTTAAGTATAATTACATTCATATTAATTATGAGAGATGACAAATTTTGTCTTGAAATAGGCAATGAAATAAAATTCTTTTGGTGAGAATAAAAAAGCATTTCTCATCTATCAATATTAAGTAATTATTTTGTGATTATTAGAGTAGTCGCAATGTTACAGTCTTCATTTAACTTCTTAAGTCCATACAAACACACTTCATAACTCTGAGCCCTAGTGTATTGACAAGTGACAAGAGCCGATGAGACTAGAGGGGGGACGGTACAGGTAAAGTGAAAGTTCGCCTCAAGCAACCAAGAAGAGTCCCATTTTTTAAAATATTTGTTTAAACATCATCTTCATCCTCTTCTTCACTTCCACCATCCTGTCCGTACATATCAGCTAGCTTGTCAAACCGTGGACCCCAAGCTCCTAAATAATCAAACTCTTGCTGCTCATCATCAGTACCTGAAAATTTTTCAAAACAATATTAGCATTTAATTGATTGATAAAATGTTTCTACAGTACTGTACATATAATTACTGCCACGAACCAGAAGCTAATGAAGATAATGATCCTGCTGTACTGCCACCACCTTCATATGCATAATTACGCAAGTCATCGAACGGTGGAGCGTTAGGATCACTATCAGCCCTCTTTTTGTGCTCCTCGATGAAAATACCAACATTTGGGTCAGGGCCAAGATGAGGATCTGTGCATTTTTAAAAGTGTTATCGTAAAGATGAAAAACAAATACATTTATCTAACTTGTCATCGTGTACAACGAACACTGCTTGTCACAAATCGCACTTACAGGGGATTTTGGCTGTCATTGGGAGTGGTCCACCGATGGGTATTTGGAGAGGTGTGATATCAAACGCAGTCATGTCATCTTCTCCACCTCCCTCATCATCGTAATTAATAATATTCTCCCTAACATCATCATCAGGCCCTGGATATTTTATGTGAGCCTCACGTCTTCGGTTGTATACAACAAACACCAACACTAAAACTAAAAGAGGAAAAAAAAGAACAAGGATATAAAAAATATGTCATTGTGATAAAATGAGTACTTCAAAGTATTAACAAGATAACCAAAGATTTTAGAAGCAAATTATCTAAGCAAATTAAATTTGTCTACACTAGCAGATTTTCTAAAATGCTGTGATAAATATTGATTCAAAAAGCACCAGAAAGCTAAACTAGAAACACAGTTGAATCACCCAAAAAAAGTGTTCTCATTTTGGAATGTTCCATTTTTCTAGGATATTAAGAAGTGAGATTTCAGTCTTTGGTGGTTCAGGGTGGTTCACTTACTGAGAAGCAACACAGCACAAACGAAGATAGCAATAATGAAGTCAGTAGAGGGAGTGATGATTCCTGATTCAAGAAGCTCAAGTTCGCAATCGAGGCCAGTAAAACCTCGAGAGCACAAACACTCATAACGACGGTCATCATCATAATCTATACACGTGCCACCATTCATGCACGGCTTCCACTCTTCGCACTCATTCTCATTGACACACTGGTGGCCTTGTACTCTAAATCCAGCGGGGCAACTAAAAGTAACAACAAAAACATAACAAGCACAAAATTAAAAATTGCTAACAAGCTCTACAAGGTGCAGCACAAAATTAAATTAGCCGTGGAGAACTGAAATTATATCTCCGAGTTTAATTGAGCTCAGAGAGCAAGCCAGCATACAGCATAAAACATGAAAATAAAATAAAATATAGCTAGATGAAAAGGTGGAGAGACTAGCTAAACAAAATACAGCACAAGTATGCAGCACCTAAAGTGGCCAGGCAGTTCGAGCTGGAAAAAAAGTGTTCACATACTGAGAATGACAAGGAGGCAGACTAATATTGCTGCAAGAGCACCCATGCTCAATTTCAATGTTTGTCCTTCTTGGACTAGTTCACAGTTTTCACCCCAGAAGCCATCAGGGCATTCACAGCGGTAGCGGGTTCGGGGGTCTTCATTGAAACAGTGGCCACCATTTTCACAGGGCTTATCAAGACACTCGTCTTTATCCATGCAGCCCTTCGCATCAGGGGACATGATGCGACCAACTCCACAGCTAAGAAATAACAAGTATTATGAGGATACAACCACAGACACAAAATAAACATCCCTCTTTCTAACTAAACTGGAAAAACATCCAGAGGAAAAAAAAAATTCTGACTGAAAAAAAATTACAAAACATGAACATACACATTCAACATAACATTCTGTTTCTCCCCAAAACATGTGCAAAACTTTGTAAACTTTAATGGAGAACAGATGACTTCTCTCCTTAAACATAGTTTTTCAAGATGAAACTATACCGGTATATAGTCCCCATCAGGAGAGGTGGAACCTGAGGAGATAATACTTATTTATCCTGAAGGGCTCAGACCACACTGACAACAGTCAACACAATGCAGAGCTCTGTTTTGTTAGAGGAACTCCGGCTGGAGCAGTGGGGGAAAGGAGGCCAGGAGAGAGGGAAGGGAGCGGGAGGAAAAGGATGGGAGGAGATGACATCCTGTCTTGCTCAAGAGCATCTAACAGCATCATAGCTCTGTGTGAGCTGAAATTTATGTTTGGAAGAACTGCTTTCATTGTTTCAAAAGTAATTCTTGGTGATTAGTTTTTATATTGTATGAATACAACAGCAACTTTGATTTGTGTCATCCAGTTTTGATGCCACAAAAGGGATGAGGAAACTATGTAAATATGATGTATTTCAAAAGCAAAAAAAAAAAAAAAGAAAAAAAAGTACTAGATGTAAAGAATACTTTATACAAATTCACAGAAGGTTTTTTAATCTCCCAGAAAAGAAAAAGAAAAAACGAAGAAAGACTTTGCCTAGTAGGAGAGAGGTGGAGGGGGCCTTGCCCAGGCAGGCAGAGGGAAGGAGGAGGCTCCAGTTGTCTGCTCTGTGCACCACACCTTGTCACAGTGTGTGCACACTGCTACTGCATGCTTGAGTGCCCGGCAGGAAGCACTTAAGGCGTCCGGCCGTCTGGCCAGCCGGCTGCCTGTGCGTCTGACTGTTAGTGGGCCTACCTGGCTGCCAGTCTGGTACGGCTCACAGCTGAGTGAACCACACCTACAGATCGACACGGAAAGTAGGGCATGGAAAGCAAAGTATGGATACTCACGTGCATTCATATTCGTTCCACAAATCAACACATTCAAATGGATCGGGGCAGATGACGTTGGCGCAAGGGTTATTTGACGGACAGTTGCGCTCCAAGTTTCGAGCCATAGTGGCTTGTCCCCATTGGGTTCCATTCATTCCTGGAGGAAGAGGAAGGTGCTTTCCTTCCAATCTGATGTCATCCAAGCAGCCTGAAGGTTTACAAAAAAATTATCAGCTAGACAAATAATAAAGTCAAAAAGATCTCAAGAAAAATTAAGATGAATAAGATTAATATCGATCTCATGTGAAATCAAACAACATACCCTTTTGGAAGTCTGAGTAAACTTCAAATGTTCGGACCCCTGTGTATTCAGCTTTCCCTCCAGCATAAACTCCTTCCTGCTTGTCGACAATCAACCACTGGTGGCCGGTAAAACTAAAGGTTTCATTATACCTTCGGCCCTCACCACCATCAAGCTCTAGGAATGCGGCAGAACCATGGCGGTTCACGCGAACGCTGTGCCATTGCCCATCGTCCACATACATAGAAGCCAACCAAAGGTCTTTCTCTTCAGTGCGAATACTGTTCAAGTTGAATTTGAAATGGAGCCTGCGATCTTTGATCTGGAAGTTTTGAATGTTTATTAAGTTCAGGCAGATCATAGCAAAGCAATCAAAGAGCTTCAAAGACTCTAAAGATCTGATCCACATACCTCCAAAATACCATATTCACGGTTGTGCTGGTCACTGACACGGAAGAGCTCACCATTTTGCTCTCTAGTACGGAAACGAAGTTGCATAATGGTAGAATATTTATCAGGGTCAAATGACAGAGCATACTTGACATAGCTCTGAGGCTTGAATGTGGTAGGCACTGTTGGAACAGAACATGAGGGACCAGTCCACCCTGGGAGGCACTGACAGCGTGCTTCAGTCATGCTGCCAGTACAAATGCCATGTTCCCAGCAGCGGAATGTAAGATCTGACTGTGAACATAATTCTTCAGTCTGAGGACATCCTGCCACAGAATTTCTGGAGAGGCCAGGATGAGCCAAGTCATAGAGCTGTTAAAACAAAAAATGACATGAAAACTCAATTCTTTAAACAAAATGCAAAAAGCAAACACAACAAAATTCT